TTTTTTTTTTTTTTTTTTAGAGACAGAGTTTCACTTTGTCACCCTTGGTAGAGTGTTGTGATGCCATGGCACTCTCCCCAGGGTGACAGCTTGAGGCTCTTTCTCAATAAATAAATAATAAATAAATAAATAAAAATGGATCTGAGAGGTAGAAGTTGAATTCTGTTACATTTATGTATTACATAGTGGTGAAATCTGGTGTACTCACAACCCCAGTATACATTGTGTACACTATTAGTGAACCCATCACCCAAATAGTGTACATTATACATTCATCCCTTACTCTCCCCCCGTGAGTCTCCGATGTCCATTAGGCCACTCTGTATGTCCTGGCATAGCTCCCACTTGGTCGTGAGAACATGCACCATTTATTTTTCTGTTCCTGCTTCATTACTTCCCTTAGGATAATGGCCTCCAGTTCCACCCAAGTTTCTGCAAAAGCTCCTTCCTTCTTCTTGTTTTTTTCTTTTATTTGTTTTTTTGTTTTGACATGAGGTCTTACTCTGTTCCCCAGGCTGGAGTACAGTGGCACAATCCTAGCTCACTGCAAACCTGAACTCCTGAGCTCAAGCAATCCTCGTGCCTCAGCCTCCTAAGAAGCTGGGAGTACAGGACAGGTGTGAGCCACCACACCCAGCTAATCTGTGTGTGTGTGGATGCGGTCTCACTATGTTGCCCAGGCTGATCTCAAACTCCTGGGCTCAAGTGATCATCCTGCCTTGGTCTCCTGAGATTCTGGGACTTTAGATGTGAGCCACTGCACCCAAACCTATTCAATTCTTACTTATGACTGTGTAGTACTCCGGGATACTACAAAATATTCACTGCATTTTCTTTATCCACTCATTGGTCAATAGGCACTTAGGTTGATCCCATATCTTTGCAATTGTGATTGTGCTGTATATAGTGACTTTTTTTTTTTTGGAGACAAGTCTCACTTTGTCACCTTTGGTAGAGTGCTATGGCATCACAGCTCACAGCAATGTCAAACTGTTGGGCTCAAATGATTCTCTTGCCTCAGCCTCCCGAGTCAAAGGGACTATAGGCGCCCACACAACACCCAGCTATTTTTAGAGATAGGATCTCTTGCTTAGGCTGGTCTCAAACTCCTGAGCTCAGGCAATCCGCCTGCCTCAGCCTCCCAGAGTGTTAGAATTACAGGTATGAGCCAGAGTCTGGCTGCATAGTGATTCTTAAAAGAAAAACGTCTCCCTGCTATACCTCACTTTTTCCAAAACTGATCAATTATGGGAGAGAATCAAGTATTTCTCCTGCATTTCCTATGTAAATTATACCTTAGTGTAATTAAATAGTTGACCAGGGCAACTTTCACTTGATGGAATCATTTCAGATAATAAATGAAGAAGGCATTAGTATATTTTGCAAACTCTAATGAACTAATGCTTCTGGGTGGTTATTGTCAAAGGCTACTAGAAAATAAAAAGATAATCAGACATTATGGGCCTCCTAATGGAAATATACACTACCTCCTATGATGCACTCTTGCTAAATAAAAACTAAACTGAATTTCATTGATCTGTATCAGAAATTCAGGGGACAGATGGGGTGAGGTGGCTTATGTCTCTAATCCTAGAACTCTGGGAGGCAGGAAGCTCCCTTGAGCTGAGAAGTTTGAGACCAGCCTGAGCAAGGACAAGACCCCATCTCTACTAAAAATAGACAAAATATAGCCAGGTGTTATGGTAGGCACCTGTAGACCCAGCTACTCAGGAGGCTGAGGCAGGAGAATTGCTTGAACCCAGGAGTTGCTGGGAGCTAGGCTGATGCCACCGCACTCTAGCTAGCCTGGGCAACAGAGTGAGACCCTGTCTCAAAAAAAAAAAAGAAAGAAAGAAAGAAGAAAGGAAGGAAGGAAGGAAAGAAAAAATATTTAAAAAAAAGAAAGGAAAGAAAAAAAGAAAGAAGGCTCAGTGACCATAGCTCAGTGGTTAGGGAGCTGGCCACATGCACTGAAGTTGGTGGGGTCAAACCTGGCGAGGGCCTGCTAAACAACAATGACAACAATAACAATAAACACAACAGCCGGGTGTTGTGACAGGTGCCTGCAGTCCTAGCTACTCGGGAGGCTGAGGCAAGAAAATCCCTTGAGCCCAAGAGTTAGAGGTTGCTGTGAGCTGTGACCATATGGCACTCCATAGAGGGTGACAAAGTGAGACTGTGTCTCTAAAAAAAAAAAAGAAAGAAAGAAAGAAAAAGAGAGAAAGAAAATTGCAGGTGATAGAGGATGGTAAAGGTTACCATGGGGATGTGATCAACAAAATCCACACTATGGAAAACACAATAGAACAAATAACTTGCTATCTCAAGAAATAAATTATAAGGGGGAAAAAAGGTGGGAGAGTCTATAGATTTTGTATAAAGAGAGAGACAAGAACATGTACCAATCAATTGCAATAGACCATATCAGGCTCCTAGTTGAAATAAAAAATAAACATGTAAAAATAAAAATCATTAGCCAGGCATTGTGGTGGGTGCCTATAGTCCCAGCCATTCAAGAGGCTGAGGCAAGAGAATTGCCTAAGCTCAGGAGTTGGAGGTTGCTGTGAGTTGTGATGCCACGGTACTCTACCGAGGGTGATAAAATGAGACTGTCTCTAAAAAAAAAAAAAAAAATTCAGACAATTAGGGAAATTTAAACACTAGCTAGATATTTAATGATTTTTTAAAAAATATTGACAATGTTTAGGCGTGATAATGGTATCATGATTATTTATAAAAAAGAGTTCTTATCTTTTAGAAATATAAACTATCTATAGCTCAGCGGCTAGGGCACCAGCCACATACACCAGAGCTGGCGGGTTTGAATCCAACCTGGGCCCACCAAACAATAATGACAACTACAACCAGAAAGCAGCCGAGCATTGGGGTGGGCGCCTATGGTCCCAGCTACTTGGGAGGCTGAGGCAGGAGAATCACTTAAGCCTAAGAGTTGGAGGTTGCTGTGAGCTGTGATGCCAAAGCACTCTATGGAGGGCGACATAGTAAGACTCTGTCTCAAAAAAAAGAAAGAAAGAAATATAAACTATTAACAAACTCCAGGCAAAAACTGCCAGGGACACACGTGTAGTTGAACAAAGTCGGGTTTACTTATGACTTGTTGCAACCTGGAGGAACACATCATGAGGACCATGGGTGTCTCAGCAAGAGGGTGTTATGCAGGATTCATGGGAGGATTTGGACTTGTGTTAGGTGATTTGGAGAAAGAGTCAAAGAAGCAGATTTTGCCCCTGATTAGATTCTTTCCAGAAGTGAGTATAATACTATGATAGTAATTTAGTAATTTTTTTTTAAGAGACACAGTCTCACTTTGTTGCTCTCAGTAGAGTGCTAAGGCATCACAGTTCACAGCAATCTCCAGCTCTTGGGCTTAGGTGGTTCTCTTGCCTCAGCCTCCTGAGTAGCTGGGATTACAGGTGTCCGCTACAACGCCCAGCTATTTTTTGTTGCAGTTTGGCCGGGGCCCGGTTTGAACCTGCCACCCTTGGTATATGGGGCCGGCACTCTACCCACTGAGCCACAGGCGCCACCCCATTTAGTAATTTTTATTTAAAAGGCAAGAAGAGCAGAATAAAGGTAAAGCTGTGATTGGTAAAGAAGCCACAGCCACTCATATTAGCCAGTTTGGGGGAGATGTCTGGCCATATCTGGGGTTTAGACAACGTTCATGTCCTCATCTGTGTTCAGGCATGATGGGGGAGTGGTCTTGTTTTTGTCTCAACTCATCCTGGTCCTGGAGGGCCTTGTCTGGGGCTGGCGTTCTAAGAAATCAGTTATGTTCAGAAGCAGAACACCAAGGCCTACCTGTGATAGGTCCGCTCCTAGCTGGGTCAGTTCCCAGCTGTCAGGGAGGGGCTGCTTTTCTCTTTTTCTGTATATTGAATAAAGCAATATGTGTTCTGGGATTTGCTTGAAAATAACAGAAGGGGCTGGGCACAGACTAAATGGGATGGAGCATGAGTTAATTGTTAAAGCTGGGTGATGGGTGCGTGGGGGTTCATTCTACTGTCTTCTCTGCTAGGGTGTTTAAAATTTCCCCAAAATTAAAATAAATAAATAAGTAATGGACAAAACGGCCACTAGAAACAACGTTTGGTCATAGAGCTTGGAACTATTTTAATATTTCTAAGTCAGCATACCAATCTTTTTTTTTTTTTGAGACAGAGTCTCACTATGTCACCTTTGGTAGAGTGCCGTGACGTCGCAGCTCACAGCACTGGTGTTAGGGTGGCTCAGCAGGAACAGAGTGTTCCTACCACCTGGCCCCATAACAATATGGCTAGACAACCACTGACTTATGATCAAAGGATGTTAACAAGGACCTTTTCTTGTGTTATTTTATTTTCCAGAATTCCCTTCTCCACTTGTGTACTCACAGACTAACATGGTCATGAGAGGTCAAAATGTGTCTCTGTTTTGTTCCCATAAGAACAAATCACTGCAGATCACCTACTCCTTGTTTCGGCATGAGATATTCTTGGGAACCCAGAATGGAACAGGTGAACCCACGATTTTTAAACTCAACATCTCTGAAGCTGGTGACTTGGGCCCCTACAAATGCAAAGCCCAAGTTTTAAAATGTGTGAAATATAGTCGTGACTTCAACTTCACCATTGCTGGTAAGTGAAGGCCCTGCGGCTTGTGGGAGTCTTTCCTCTTCTATGAAGGGCTCTTCATGTCCCTTGATGACCTTTACTTGAGGGCCTGGAAACTATGTCACTGAGATCTTTATTCTTTTTTTTTTTTTTTTAAAGACACAGTCTCACTCTATTGCCCAGGCTAGAGAGCCCTGGCATCAGCCCAGCTCACAGCAACCTCATAGTCCTGGGTTCTAGCAATCCTCCTGCCTCGACCTCCTGAGTAACTAGTACTACAGGAGCCTGCCACAAGGCCATGCTATTTTTTTCTATTTTTAGTAGAGATAGGGTCTTGCTCTTGCTCAAGGTAGTCTTTTTTTTTTTTTTTTTTAATTTTTGAGACAGAGTCTTTCTTTGTCACCCTCAGTAGAGTGCCATAGCAACCTCACAGCAACCTCGAACTCTTGGGCTTAAGCGATTCTCTTGCCTTAGCTTCCCGAGGTCTCAGGCTAGTCTTAAACTCCTATGCTCAAGGGATTCACTTGCCTCAACCTCCCAGAGTGCTGGGATTACAAGCATGAGCCACCGGGCCCAGCGGAGATCTTTATTCTCGATAATTCCATTTCACTTTCTCTTGCAAAGACTTTTGACAATTTCAGATAATAGTCTTATATAGCCTAAGCCAAAAGTCTGATATCTTAACAGTAAGATTATTGAGTTCTTTTCCAAAAGCTTTATTCCACGATTCCCATCATGGGACAAAAACCACTTTTTTTTTTTTTTTCTTTCTGAAGACTCAAATAAGAAGACTTGGAATCAGTGCTGGGCCCTGTAGAGAGGGTGGTTGAAGTTCCAGGCCCTCTCCATCTCTCCCCCTGTACCAGGTTCCCTGCCGGCCACCCTCTTCTGCCTGATCACTTCTTCCCACTTCCATGTTTTTCTCTCCCATTTTCCTGCCCTGAGCATCTTATGGTCTAGCAGTAATGGCCTCGTCTGTGAAGGGAACCTTGATAATACACTCGTGGGAGAGAAGGAAGGGCTTCTGGGTAATACATGTGTATTATACCCGGAGTCTTCCAAACATAGGAACCCCGACTTCTGATTGGTTCTCTAGGCCTGCTCTAATCAGTATGGTAGCCACTAGCCACATGTGGCTATTTCAATCTGAATTCAAATTAATCAAAATTAGATGAAATGAGAAATTTTAGTTCCACTGTCTCATTAGTTACATTTCAAGTGTTCAATGCCCACAGGTGGCAACCAGTGAATAAGACAGACATAGACCATTTCCATCATTACAGGAAGTTCTGTTGGGTGACCCTGCTGTAGGTTAGTGATTCTTAGTTTTTTAGTTTATAACTATCTTAATAATCTAATGATAGCAATGGATGCTTTCCCTGGAGAAATGGTCTTATTTCTATTAGACTAAGCCTCCTGAGTAGCTAGTACTACAGGAGCCTGCCCTATTACTGAGGGCAGTTAACGTAGCTGATAGCATTCTCTAGAGGTCAGCCTCCTGCTGCCCCAGCCAGGCAACCCATCAATGCACATGTCTCTGTGTACAACTTCCCTGTGGTTGGTTAAAGTTTGATAGATTATAAAACTGTGTCCTCTTCAGTTAAGTCAGATCAGTAGGCACTATGGACTATGGAGTACCTACTCGGTGCAAACAATTGTGCTACTGGGATTTTTTTGTTTTTTTGAGACAGAGTCTCACTTTGTTGCCCTTGGTAGAGCGCTGTGGCGTCATAGCTCACAGAAACCTTTAACTCTTGGGCTCAGGCAATTCTCTCGCCTCGCCTCCCAAGTAGCTGGGACTATAGGCACCCACCACAATGCCCAGCTATTTTTAGAGATGAGGTCTCACTCTGGTTCAGTCTGGTCTTGAACTTGTAAGCTCAGGCAATCCACCTGCCTTGGCCTCCCAGAGTGCTTGGATTATAGGCATGAGCCACTGCATCTGGCTCTGCTACTGGGATTTTAATGACACCTAAGACATGATCTTGTCCCTAACACAGGAAGGGTTGAGAGGATGAGCCATAAACACAGATTCATTAATCATTAATTCACTCACCAAGTATGTAATGAGATTGTGCTAAGCCCTGACCATACACTGGTTCCTGCCTTGTGGGGTCTTGCCGTGGCACCCAGGCTGGAATGCAATAGCATCATCATAGCTCATTACAACCTGGAGCTCCTGGGCTCAAGTGATCATCCTGCCTCAGTCTCCTGGGTAGCTGGAAATATAGATGTGTGCCACCATGCCCAGCTAATTTTTCTATTGTTTATAGAGACGGGGTCTTGCTCCTGCTCAGGCTGGTCTCAAACTCCTGGGCTGAAGTGATCCTCCTACCACAGCCTCCCAAAGTGCTTAGATTATAGATGTGAGCCACTGTACCTGGCCAAGAACAGGAATTTTTTTTTTTTTTTTTTGAGACAGAGCCTCAAGCTGTCACCCTGGATAGAGCACTATGGCATCACAGCTCACAGCAACCTCCAGCTCCTGGGCTTAAGCGATTCTCTTGCCTCAGCCTCCCAAGCAGCTGGGACTACAGGTGCCTGCCACAGTGCCTCGCCTTTTTTTTTTTTTTTTTTTTGGTTGTAGTTGTCATTATTGTTTGGCAAGCTCAGGCTGGATTCGAACCCCTCAGCTCTGGGGTATGTGGTTGGCGCCTTAGCCGCTTGAGCTACAGGTGCTGAGTCCAAGAACAGGATTTTTAAATGTTTCTCTAACTACCTATTGATAGATTCATTAACTGGCATATTAACTAGACCTCGGTTTTAAACAGGTTATATGACACTGAGACACCCAAGTGGATCATGTATTAAGAGGTAGTAAAGGCTCGGCGCCTATGGCTCAACCGGCTAAGGCGCCAGCCACGTACACCTAAGGTGGCGGGTTTGAATCCCCAGCCCGGACCCACCAAACAACAATGACGGCTGCAACCAAAAAATAGCCGGGCGTTGTGGCGGGCGCCTGTGGTCCCAGCTACTTGGGAGGTGGAGGCAGGAGACTCGCTTGAGCCCAGGAGTTGGAGGTTGCTGTGAGCTGTAATGCCATGGCACTCTACCCAGGGGGACAGCTTGAGGCTCTGTCTCAAAAAAAAAAAAAAAAAAAAAAAGAGGTAGTAAAAGTAGCATGAGAATGGAACCACATGCTGGGGGTGGGGTCGGGTGGGGTGGAGGAAGAGGAGGATCGCAAGGAAGGAGGGAAGAAGAGGGAGCACTTCTGCCTGGAGGATTTAGCAAAGGTCTTGCAAGGAAGGTGGTAGCTGAATGAACTTAAAGGACTCCTTGAAATTTCAAAATATAACTGGTTTATCAAAGTTTAACTTGGTCTTTCTCTATTCCTGGCGACTGACCCATTCCTCTCTCTGGAATGTACCAAAACAGACAAACAAAAAATAATGAAAGAAAGAAAAGAAGAGTTGCACCTCACCGCAGCTCCCTTCCTCAGATCATGGTGGCTCTGTTATTCCTTTCACCAGTCCTTCTACAAACTCTCAGAGAAGTCCGCATTTTTCCAGTTACTTTATCAATTACGATATCCAGTTACTGATATCAATTCGAATCATTCCGTCTCAGAGAGGAGTCCATGCTGTTTGCTTCCTCATGAATGTTTCAGCTCCTCTTTCCTGCAAATTACAAGAGGTAGATTTCACTTCCACAGGAAGAATATCCTATCGGTGCTATTCTCAAGCTAAGTTGCCCTCTGAGGTCACCATCTGGAGGTGCTGTTCATCTTGTCACAGGGATTTCCATGCAGGCGGAGACGGAGCAAGGAGATTCTAAATTCTTTTCTTTGGTTTTACTTTTGCTTTGGTCTTATGTTTTACTGTTTCTGTACCAAATTGATTTTGTTAAAAAAAAATTTTTGTGTAAACCCGGCACAGTGGCTCACTCCTGTAATCCTAGCACTCTGAGAGGCCGTAGTGGGTGGATTACTTGAGCTCAGGAGTTTGAGACCAGCCTGAACAACTATGAGACCCCATTTCTATAAAATAGCTGGGTTTTTTGGCTACGTGCCTGTGGCTCAAGTGGCTAAGGCGCCAGCCACGTACACCTAAGGTAGAGGGTTCGAATCCAGCCTGGGCCCGCCAAACAACAATGACAGCTGCAACCAAAAAATAGCTGGGTGTTGTGGCAGGTGCCTGTGGTCCCAGCTACTTGGGAGGCTGAGGCAGGAGACTCGCTTGAGCCCAGGAGTTGGAGGTTGCTGTGAGCTGTGATGCCACAGCACTCTACCCAGGGGGATAACTTGAGGCTCTGTCTCAAAAAAAAAAATAGCTGGGTTTTGTGGCAGGTGCCTGTAGTCTCAGCTACTTAGGAGGCTGAGGCAAGAGAATCACTTGAGCTCAAGAGTATGAGGTTGCTGTGAGCTATGACTCCATAGCACTCTACTCTGTCTCCAAAAAAAAAAAATCGTGGACCCTGGAGTCAGTCCTCCCTCTGCCATTTACTAACTGGGTGATCTTGGGCAAGTTTCTTAACCCCTCTGAAGCACAGTTGGTTCATCTGGTGGAATGGGTGTGATACTATCTACCTTGCAGGACTTAATGGTCAAATGGGATAAAATGAGTTGTATGTCTGGTACATGATACTCCACAACTATCCTTCCTTTCCTGTAAGACTGGTTTATCAGTGAATTATATAACAAAGCATACAGCTGGGTCCTCCCACAGGATAGGGTTTGGCCTGACGGGGTGTACCAGACCCACACAGTTCCTGTTGAGAGTTTCCCTCAAACCTATTTAGCAGGTTACTTCCTGCTTTGTGGACGATGTGAGAGTGTCTCAACCACACAGCTGACTTCTATAAATGAACATACAGTTAGAGAAAATGATATTTTTGGATTTCTTAAAAAAAAAAAATATTGCAGAGCCAGATGCAGTGGTGCACACCTGGAGTCCCAGCTACTCGGGAGGCTGAGGCAGAGGATCATTTGAGGCCAGGAGTTTGAGTCCAGCCTGGGCAACAAAGCAAGACCCTATTTCCTAAAAAAGTTCTAAATAATTTTAAAAACGATTGTCAGTCCCCCACCTCCCAAAAAAGGAAAAAAAAAGGCCTCATTGTAACCTTTATAAAGATTGAGCGTAAAAGCCCCTCACCGTTTCATACGTACTTGGAACTGGATTGACAAAATTATATTCCTTATCCACAATAAGCAGACTGTGAATTCTATGAAAGACAAGCTTGCACCCCAATTCTTCAAAGCAGAGAGACACCCTCACTTTCTGGCTTCCTCAGCACCCGGCTCGTGGCTCACCACCTGGGCTTGGCCACAGGCCCCTTTGCCCTTCCCGCTGGCTCACCGGCTTCTTGGCTTCACCTTTGGGTCCACAGCCTGGAATGGAGCAGTGGATCTGTCTCCATCTGTGGACTGAGTGAGTGAACGCAATCTGCTCATCCCTTTCTCGTGCATGTTCTTCCTTCCAGACCCGGTGACTGCCCCACTGCTGACCATCTCGATCACTGCAACAGGGACAGAACGACACGTAACACTACGCTGCTTCTCAGCCCGTGGCTCACTGCCCATCAATTACACTTTTTTTGAAAAAAATGTCCCCATATCATCAGCTATTTCCAAAAATGCAAGGGAGCCTGCCGAGCTGAACTTGACCAGGAAGGACACTGAAGAGGAAGAGTACAGGTGTGAAGCTAGAAACGGGCTGCCTGACCTCGCACAGTACAGCCAGCCCGTCTCCATGGCTGCCACGGGTAAGGGCATCTGAGTTCTTTCAGCAGGGTCTGGACTCGCTTCCAGAAACTTCAGCTGCTCCTCTGCCCACCTATTTCCCACTTTGGCCACCTGTTTCTGATTCCGGGATCCCGCTGGTAGGATCCACGCAACTTCTATTGGTTGCTTTCTGCTACAGAGAAACCATAGAGAAGCCTAGAATCTGGTCAGGCAGGGGCCTTGGGGTGAGACTTTCTGCCCTAACCCTGCTTCCCGCACTGCCCTCCCAGTACCTGGGTTCTAAGTAGCCGTATCAGCACTTGCATCTCTCTTGGAGAAACACAAGTCTTTTGGTTCTCTCTTTTTATTGACTTCTGGCATCTGTGCCCTCCACTTGGGTGTTTACTGCCCCAGTGCTAATGTTTGGTGATCACCTGCTTAGGCCAAGAGTGGCCCCTGACCCAGCCCTGTGTTTGAAGGACTCTGCTCTGGCATCTCTAGCCTATCACTTACCTGTAAGCTTAGGAGTTCAGGGAGCCACGGGGACGTGCCTACCTGGACCCATATATACTCCCACTTGTCTGCTCCACACTCTGGGCACCTGGACCAAAATTACCTACCCAGTTAGATCAGAACCCACTTCCAAGGTGTGCAGGAGTCTGTATCCTAGCTTGTTTTTTCGACAACAGCACACAGTGAGAGTGGGGACTTCCCTGAACAGAAGCTAAGGGAGCTGTTGGCGGTGGTAACGGACAGTATTTAGAAAGGCAGGCTGGGAGTCCACGGACATGCAAGGCCCCTTCAGTGCAGGTGGGAAGGGGGCAGGCTGGGACTGCAGTGGGCTCTCCCCATGCTGCCATGGTGCGGTGCAGAACTCTGGAGAGTTTTGGAATTCTGTTTGCAAACCTGACCTTCTGGGTCCTTACTAAGGTACATTTGTCAAGGAAGGAGAAGGATAGAAGAAAAACTAGGTTAGCAAAGGCAGAAGGCATGCTTGGACGCTGAACTCTTGCCCCAGCCACATCCTTGGAAGGACAGTGAGCTAGGCAGCCGAGCACTTAACTACAAATCACAGCCCTTCCATTTACAGGCTGTGTGATCTTAGGAAACTCACTTAACCTCTCTGAGTCCTACACTCTTCATCTATAAAAAGGGAGTCCCAATAAAGTAAATAAGGCAACATATGTAAAGGGCCTGATAGCGTCCGGTATGCAGCGAATACTCAATAGATGGGAGCTGTTTGGGAGACACGGTTGTGCCAGCATGGCCCAGGGCTCTGATCTTACTGATGCTTATGACCCTGACATGCACCCAGCCATCCCTTGTTAAATGCTGTGGTGCTTTTCTCTTCCTCAGAAGAGGCTGTGGAAGGTATGCTTGGTGACTTTGTGACTTTGAGAACTTTAGTGACTAACAAGTTAGTCTCGTGAGCAGATGTCTATAGCAGTCTGGGAATCTGGATGCACAGTATGTTGGTTAACTTGGGAGACGGCTGTGATCGTCCCTTCTAGAACATTTACCAGCTCAGTGTCATGGGGAAAAAAAGCACTGTGGTCACCGATGAATGCTGTCTTCCAGGTGGGGACGGCTGTCCTCTCTGCCTGCAGCTACTGCTTCCGGGGCTATTACTGGGGCTAACGGTGATAGCCCTAATCCTGGCTTTTTGGATACTATCCAAATACAAAGCAAGTAAGTTCTCCAGGCGCTTTGCCATTGCTTTCCCGTGGGTTTTGGATACAGACAGCAGGGCAGAGGGTGAGGAGGAAGGGACAAGGTGGATCAGAAATGGAATGGGGGAAAGAGGAGGGAAAGATGAGAAAGGGAAGGATAAACAAAACGGACTTCCCCAACAGTCCACACATAGGTACAGTTCCCATTTCTCTGGTGAAAGCCTTTTCGGAATTAGATTGTAAGCAGAACCAGATTCACGGGCATGCAAGCTGGTGCCCGTGCCAAGACAGGCTCCATGCCTGGTTTAATGTTCTGCCATCACTATCTAAATTTTTCTCTTTTTTTGAGACAGAGAGTCTCACTCTTGCCATGGGTGGAGTGCTGTGGTGTCATCATAGCTGACAGCAACCTCAAACCTGGGCTCAAGAGATCCTCTTGCCTCAGCCTCTCAAGTAGCTGGGACTACAGGCACCCGCCACAGTACCCTATTACTTTTTTCATTTTTAGTAAAGACCAGAGCTCGGTCTTGCTCAGGCTGGTCTCTAACTCTTGAGTTCAAGTGATCCTCCCACCGTGGACTCCCAGAGGGCTAGGATTACAGGTATGAGCCACCATGACCAACTAGGAGTACAAATACTGTTTTAATGAGAGGCCCTTTTCTCTTCTTTGTATGACTCTTTGTGGAAGATGTACTTGCTTATGAATTTAAGAACTTGCAAACTGGCTCAGCACCTGTAGCACAGTGGTTACAGCGCCAGCTACATATACCCAGGTTGGCAGGTTCCAACCCGGCCTGGGCCAGCTAAACAATAATGACACCTACAACAAAAAAAATAGCCGAGCGTTGTGGCAGGCACCTGTAGTCCCAGCTACTGGGAAGCTGAGGCAGGAGAATCACTTAAGCCCAAGACTTTGAGGTTGCTGTGACTGTCACGCTACAGCACTCTACTGAGGGTGACATAGGGAGACTCTATCTCAAAAAAAAAAAAAAAAAAACATGCAAACAAATGTTCATTTTGCTCTGGGTCTGCACATTGCATAGCTTGTCCTAGCTACAAACTCCTCAAAGCCAAGGGCTTTGCCTGGTATTATCCAGCAGCCTCACTGGATGAGATACTGGGGGGAAGCTCATCACACAAAGACAAATAAGAGCATTGTTCCTTTCTTCCCCACCTCAAGTGCCAAATTCAGCAAAAACCCTCAATGTCCTGAGGAGCCTCTGTTACCACTTTTCACTCTTTATGTCTTCTGACCACCCAAGGTTATGATTTCTTTTTTTTTTTTGAGACAGCCTCAAGCTGTCCCCCTGGGTAGAGTGCTGTGGCATCACAGCTCACAGCAACCTCCAACTCCTGGGCTCTAGCGAATCTCCTGCCTCCACCTCCGACATAGCTGGGACCACAGACACCTGCCACAATGCCCAGCTATTTTATGGTTGCAGCCGTCATTGTTGTTTTGGCAGGTCCGGGCTGGATTCGAACTCGCCACCTTAGGTGTATGTGGCTGGCACCTTAGCCGCTTGAGCCACAGGCACCGAGCCGAGGTTATGATTTCAAAGTGGCTTTTTTATTTGGCACCCACGTGTGGAAGAATTTTAAGGTTTCCACAAAAGACTATATCTTGGCACTGGTACCCACTGGCAAGCCAAGGGGTATTGGGCAGGCCCCTTTGTCTCTCTGAGCCTCAGTGATCTGACCTGTGAAATGGGGTCATGGAGATGCTCTGACACTGGCAAGAGAACAAGATATTAAGTGTGGGGCCCCTGTGATCCCCTCCATCTCTAGAGAGCCAAAACTCAAGGGGGGAGGAGTCAGTTGACACAAAACAGAGATGTCACAATTTACTCACCTCATACATGAGAAGAACATCTCTCCCCTTTCTACAAAAAAAGCAGGTCTTGCAAAAGTGGCATTAATATTCTTGATTACTGACCAGAGCTAAAACAGAGTACAGTTGGGTTATTTACTGTCATTTGAAGATATGCTTCTTCAAGACTGTCCCAAAGCTTCTTATAGACTGTTCTCTTCAGGGAGGAAAGAAAATGTGTTGGAGGGTGGTGCGTGTGGCTCAGTGAGTAGGGCCCCAGCCCCATATACCAAGTGTGGCAGGTTCAAACCCGGCCCTGGCCAAACTGCAACAAAAAATAGCTGGGCATTGTGGTGGGTGCCTGTAGTCCTAGCCACTTGGGAGGCTGAGGCAAGAGAATCGCCTTAGCCCAAGAGCTGGAGGTTGCTGTGAGCTGTGATGCCACAGAACTCTACTGATGGCAACAGAGTAAGACTCTGTCTCAAAAAAAAAAAAATGTGTTGTAAAGCATAATCTGATAGGCAAAGCACGTTCCTCACAAAGTTGGGAAAGTAAGTTGGAATAGCCCTGGCTTGGAGATGTGGGTGCTTTAAATTCTTTGTTGAGCCCACGGTTTTCCTTTGTTAGACAACATTTGGGGCCATTGGAGCAAGTCACTCTTTCAGAGATTTGGGGGAATTTTACTCCTGCAGAAGAGACCCCCAAAAAAGAAAAATGTGGCTGAATTGGTTTAATGATTCTGTACCAATTTATGTAGGAAAAGCTGTGCGAGGTAACGCCCCCAAGGACTGTGGAGCCACACCCCTGGAAGTTAGAATATATGCAAATATCAGCCTAAATCAAACAGGTAAGAAAGAGAACTTTGGGCTCAGCGCCCACAGCACAGTGGTTATGGTACCAGCCACATGCACTGAGGCTGGTGGGTTCGAAGCTGGCCAGGGCCAGCTAAAACAATGACAACTGCAACAAGACAATAGCCAGGCATTGTGGCTGTTGCCTGTAGTCCCAGCTACTTGGGAGGCTGAGGCAAGAGAATCTCTTAAGCCCAAGAGTTTGAGGTTGCTGGGAGCTGTGATTCCACTGCACTCTCCTGAGGGCGACATAGTAAGACTCTGTCTCAAAAAAAAAAAAAAAAAGGAGAACTTTGTCAAGTATTTTAGCTAGTTTTAGGTTTTTGTCTTTTTTAATTTTTTAAAGGTGGCACAGACATGTGTGTAAAAAATTGAATAAAGGGGCAGCGCCCTTGACTCAGTGAGTAGGGTGCTGGCCCCATATACAAAGGGTGGCGGATTCGAACCCAGCCCCAGCCAAATTGCAAACAAAAAAATAGCCGGGCATTGTGGTGGACACCTGTAGTCCCAGCTACTTGGCAGGCTGAGGCAAGAGAATTGCCTAAGCCCAAGAGCCTGAGGTTGCTGTGAGCTGTGATGCCACAGCACTCTACCGAGGGTGACACAGTGAGACTCTGTCTCTAAAAAAAAAATAAAAATTAAAAATAAAAAATAATTGAACAGGCTCGACGCCTATAGCTCAACCAGCTAAGGCGCCAGCCATGTACACCTAAGGTGGCGGGTTCGAATCCCCAGCCCGGACCCGCCAAACAACAATGACGGCTGCAACCAAAAAATAG